TCTCCAGGATGAACTTGTCATGCTGCTTTCTGGCACGTACCCGACTGTGCTTGTCGTCGGAGGGGCTCGGGGCCTCTGTGTCACTAAGGACAGCTGTGGTGTCTTCAGGATATCCCGGGTCTTTGTTGTGAATGTGACTTCCCACTAGCACAGCTCCTTCATCCTGCTGGCATAGACTTTCTGGCTTCCACCGCTGACCCTTGGGTCTTCCCGGCATAGATCCATAAGAGAGTCTGGCGTGAGTCCTTCTTGTGGGCTCTGGACCTCCAGTTGGACTCGTGGGAGGCATTTTCCTGAACTCTGGATTTTTATCTGGACTCATGTGGGACATTGCCATGGGGTTTAGGCTCTTAACTAAATAATCTATGTCTTTGGTGTTGCAGATAGATTTCCTGCATTTTCCTATGTTAACTCCTGGTGACCATTATAAAAATATTATAAACTCCATGTCCTAATCGTAGTTGTTCTCTGTGTACAACCCCTAACTACAACAGAAGCAGAGGGGCTGGGTTTGAAACAGGCAGATGTGCAGGAGGGGAGGAGGTTGGCTGCGGCTCCTGCCTCTGGGCTCCTACAGCAGAGGCAGAGAGACCACGGTCAGGCTCCAAAGAAGGAAGGTATTTGGAGGTCCCTTCTCAACAACCAACCATATACAGCAGGAGGAATCTGTCCGACCCACCCTCCATGCTCCAGAAATAATAATATCAAAATAGCAATTTTCTAGCTCAGATTCTGAGCTAGATGTTGGTGATACAGTGAGGCATAAAACAGACAAAACCTCTACCTTCATGGGACTCATATTCTATAGGAAGAGACAAGAAATAAACAATAAAAATATATAATGTGTTAAAAGGTGATACCCCTGAGAAGGGATACAAAAGAGGGAAGGATATGGGGAGTGCTGGCATGGGGCAGAGGGAAATTCACAATCTTTGATAGCCAAAGGCCTCATTATGGACATCTGCATAAAGGCCTGAAAGAGACCAGGGAGGACTGAACTTTGTAGATATCTGAGGAATCACAAAAGTGCAAAGGCCCTGAGGCAGGAATAAACTGTGGCTACAGCAGAGTGATAGAAGTGGAGAAACATCCAACACGGGGAGAAAAGATAGGGATATTTGGGTCCCACAAGGCCTTTCAGACTGAAACAAGGACCACATTTTCACCAAGAGCCAGTACCCTGGAAACTTCCGAGCAGAGGAGGGACCTGATCTGCCTCTTGTCTTAGACTCACTCTTGCTAGGGTGTTGAGAAAAAGTCAAAGCAGACTGGGCAACCCCACTCTTACTACCATCATCATCACCGCCTCTAACTACTGTAGCCACAGCCAGGCCCTGGGCCTGTTCAGATTTACTGTCATGATCTTAGCTTATACCCCACGACAACCATGGGCAGAGAGATAGCTGGGTTTTCCCATTTTACAGCTAAGGAACTGAGGGCAGACCAAAATCAAAAAGTCACACAGATACCTGCCCTCAGCTCTCCAGCTCTGCCCACCTATCCCCGTCTTCCACACCCCTCATCACCGGCCTCATCCTCTGCCCCAGGGAGCTACTTCCGGTTTCCCAGCTCCACACATCCTTCAGGCCCCCAGCGTAGAAATCCTCCAGCTCAGGAAAAGGGAGCACTGCAAGGACTTGCCGCCAGCCTCATGAGCTCAAGGGCAGGACTTGTTCACCTTGACTTCTCCGGCAATCAGTTTTGCGCCGGTGGGTCTCAGGTTCAAGTCCTGGTGATGCTGTCATCCTAGAGATTTCAAATTTCTGCAGTGCAGTTGTAATATAGACATTTCCTTCATGCATGGTCACCTATGTGACCGTACTGGGCCAGACAAACAGAGCCTCAGACAGGTGGTACTGCCATGCTTAGGAGAAGGATGTTCAATCAGAGGAGATGGCACACAATGCTGAGGGAACCATGAGTGTTCAAAAGCACTGGATGCAAGGCCAAGTCCTGCCCTGCCTCTCACAAGCTAAACAGGCAGTTGTGCAGCACAGGCCTTCTATGCGGTACTCATCCATCAAATCTGGCAAATGTATTCTCTTAGGCTTAGAGAGAGCTGAAAGTAGCACAAACACAGTGCCTGGGTGTGCATGTGCCCTTGGAGATGGCATCAGGGCCCCTCTGGCCACCCATCCTAGTTCCACTTGGCCACTGTGTTCTTGGGAGACCTCACACTCCTTGGGGACTTCTGCAATCATTAATCCAGAGTCTCCCTCCTACCCCAAGGCCCCGCTCAAAGGCAGGGCCTGTGGCTTTGCGCAGCTGTGCAGGCCCCAGGCTCTCCGGCAGAGCGTGCTCCCTTTCAGGAGCCCTCTGACTGTCCCCACTGCCAGAGCATGGTCACTCCTTTTCTCCCCCACTAGCTGCCCTCCTGCCTGGGCAGCTTGCCTCACCTCCAGCAGACACAAAGGAAGAAGTGAGGAGCAGAAGCGGCTTTTTTGGCAGGTGAGAGGATATTCCACAGCAGCAGCAAAATGGGTCAAAATGCGAATTGATGCCAGAAAGTAGGCTTCTGGTCTTTCAAAGTATTGCAATCTATCAGGCTAGGAAGATTTAGAATTTCAACTGCCTTACTTTACAAGTGAGAGACCACCAAGGGTTAGCACCTAGCTCCAGGTTCCACAGCAGATGAGAGGAGCAGGGAGTCTGACGAGAGCTTTGGACCTGCCTGTGACTGGGGGCTAGGTTTGAGCTGGATGAGCCAATAGGCTGAGCACCTTGCCGAAGCCCCTGTTTCTGTTTCCCTGGAGAGAAAACACCAAAATCCTTCCAGCACCGCAATCCCAGCAAACATGGAATAGCGTCTTCTGGCTGGTTTCTTCAGCGGCCTCCAAGGGAACCATGATTCGGTTCTTGGCAGCTGCTACACCAGTTGATGAAGCTGCATAGTCATGAATCCCTGAGCTGCTTGCTTCTCCACCTGCTGATTGTTCCATGCTGGGGCTGCACAGGGCTTCTGATCCAAAATGTGCCTAATGCAGGGGTCAGGGGGAAGACAGCCAGGACACATGAAGCCCAGCCTTCTGTGGTCAGCATCACAGACCTAGAAAATACTGGGCTGATGTGCAGGCTGCATGAGACTCAGGCCCTCTCAGTAGGCAGACAACACGGACCTGTACTGTAGACAGACTCTCCAAAACCCAGAGGAAACCCTGTTGCAGTGCAAACTACCACGCTCTTACCAAAAACTATTTGTTTAGAGACAGGAAACTCACTACCTCACAGTTCCCATGTTCAAGCACTGAGCAAAAGGCTATGAATCGCTTACATCAGCTTCCTGGTTCCTCCGCCTCCTGCGGCTAACCAGTGTCTCTCCCCTGGGGAGGATAATCGCCCTATCCAGGCATACCCTTGGGAGCCCCAGCCTCCCAGATACCCTGGAGACGCCTCATGTTCACCTCTTTGGGCTAGTAACAGACCCTGCTCATCCTCCTGCCTGCGGCTCACACACACCCACCTTGGCTGTGGTGATGCCTAGCCACTCGTCCCACTTAAAATGTGCCAGAGCCTGGGCTGAGCACCGGCCTCAGACCAGGGAAGGCCCTGATGAGGAAGAAGCAGGGCCAGCCTTCTGGGTCCAGTAGTGACACTGGCTCTTGGCACCATCCTGTCACCTTTAGATCTTCCCAAACAGAGAAGATATGGTGCTGCACACCTGTAATTCCAGCACTTAGGAGGCTGAGGCAGGAGAATCACCAGGAGTTTGAGGCCATTCTAGGCTACACAGTGAGTTAAAGGCCAACCTGAACTATCTAGTGAGACCCTATCTCAAAAAATAGTTTTAAAAAAGTTTTTTAATCACACACAAATAAAGAAGAGAAAAACAATGATCACTCTGAATAAGAACATTAGGCTAGAAATCAGAACACCTGGGTACAGCCTCCACCCGATCTGAATGTGTGACTTTGAGCACATCCTTGGCAAACTGAACTGCTGGGGGAAGCTGAACAAGCATCAGAGCCACAGCGCCCTTCCAGGTCAGTATCAGGTGCTCCCCATCTCCGCCTGGCCTCTGCCAGCCCCCTTTCTGGTCCTCTGGAACCTGGAACCTACACAGCTGTGGCCGGGCACAAGGCTTGGCACTGGCTGATGAGCGAAGCTCCCAGCAGTGGGCTGACTGGTGGCAGACAGGCCTCGTTAACACATCTGCAGGACATGCCCAGCACAGTGCGGGTGAGAGGGCGCCTCAGTAAATGTCAGCGGTGTCTAACTCAGCAGTGCCACCAAAGAGAATAAAAATATAACCACATTCCTGACCTTAGTACTCGTCTGCTTCAACCCATTCATGTTACCTGTGAGGATTCTGAGACCAGCAAGGGCTGGTGACTCATCCGAGGTTCCCCAGCAAGTGTGGCCCATACTGGCTCAGTTTACCCACAGAATGTAGGGCTGCTGACATCACAGCCAAAAGAAGGACACCTGGGGCCCCAGCCCTGCTGCAGTGCCACTCCCTTGAGCTGACAGTGCTCCCTCCATCACCCTCAGAGGTGGAAGGTCTGCCCTAGACAAGTAGGAGGCCCTTGGGACCTGGGTGCTGCCACCTGCTCGGAGACAGGCCAGGCTGGATAGCCCGTCCCTCTACCAGGTTATTTATAAAATGTTTGTGGCTGAGTCAGCCACAGAGCTGCCCCACACCCTCAGGGACTGCTCCTGAGGAAACACTATGAACCAGTTGGATTCTTGGGACCCCTAGACCCACAGCAGCCTGCTCCTTGTGGCCAGGGAGAGGTGGGCCCTGGGCCAGCGCGGTTGGTGGGGTGCTGTGATGCTCTCACCAGTAGCCTGAGCCCTGAGCAGGCACATGAGCCCTGGCAGCCAATCTAGTGGGGACAGGTAGGGAGCTGCAGGCACAAGAAGGTATGGTGCACGGGCAGCTCCCAGCCCAGAACACCTGCCCTTGCCCTACCCGCCACTCCCCGTACCTTCCCAGCCCAGGTGGACAGACGGGCAAGCTCAAGAAGACAGCTCCCACCTTGTGACCAGCACCAGCTACTCACACGTCCACTCCCGTGTGTATAGCGCTCCATCTCCTCCCGGGGACCAGCTATTTATATCTCTCTGCAAAGGGAGCCCAGCCCTCAGAGCATCTCTGCTTCCTGCTTCTGGCAGCACTAATTACTTCCTCAGCTGGACGCTGCTTTCCACTCCCAGCGGAGGCCACCAGGCATAAAGGCACCTGCACTCACACCCCGCTTCCCACGCCTGGGCTGCATGCCCCGCAGACAGCACGGCAGCCCCAGGGCTGCTCCGGGCAGGTGGCTGGACTCCCACACCCAGGCCCAGGGCCAGGAGGCTCTTTTGAACCCACCTCTCCAGGGCGGCCCCCACACAGGCTTCAGGGGCCACCTGCTTGCTCAGCTGACCTGCTGTGCGCCTGGCTGAGACTCAGCTCTGCACAGGCGAGCACTGGGGCAGGCAGGGCGATGAATAAGCCTGTCCGCCCTCGAGGGAGGCAAACACATAAACAACTCATTATGCAACAGGGGAGAATGAAGTCAGTGCTAAATTAAGGCACAGGCTGGGCATGGAGCCTGCGGGCCCTCAATTCTTCCCTGCTTTTTCCCTCTTATTTTAAAAGCAATTTTTATTCACTGTACAAAGAGTTTGTATATGCAGACAACAAAAGAAAATTATAATATATTCATTCTACAACCACCCAAAGACAATTTTGTCCAGTTTGATAGCCAGATTTTCAGACTTGAGAGTCCAGATTCCAGATTCAAGGGTCCCTCCTCCAGGGCCCCCCAGTCTAACCATGGAACAAATGATATTTGTAAGAAATGGATATAAAAATTTCAGAGTGAGATAATATGGGTAGTTTGACACATTTATGTAAAATAAAAAAAACACTACATCAATACCTAGGGAACAACTGGGAAGATCTGTATTGAAAGGTTGATATGAGTTAGTCCTCGGGAGGTAGGGAGCAAATAAAGGATCTTTTTCTTCTAGAAATTTCATTTGAACTGGCACAATAACAATAATATTTTTTACAATTTTTTAAAAATTGTTTTACAATTTTTTAAAAAATTACCTTAAAGCTTTTGAAAATTTGCTACATAAATAATTTCCAATTTTTCTATGCTGTATTATCTTTGTACTTTGAATTAAATAATCTTAGAACTAAAGAGATGTACAGGCATTGTGGAAAGCAGTTTGGGCACTCTTCAAAAAGATATAGACTCGCTACATGATTTAGCAATCATATCCCTTGGTTTATGCTCAAAAAAATTGAAAACAGGTGCCCAAATACATGCTGATTCACAAATATAGCAGCACTATGGACAACAGCCCACGTGTCCATCAGTAGCAAAAGAAATTCTGGTTATATCCATATGAAATATTACTCGGTCATGAAAATCCATGAAGTGCTAACAGATGCTGCAACCTGGATAAACCTGTCACTTGACGCTGAATGGAGGAGGCCAGACCAAAAGGTCACAATGAACTGATTCCTTTTACACAAAATGACCAAAACAAGCAAGTCTTTGAAAGTAGATGAGGTTGCCAGGGACTGGGCAAAGAGGAAACAGACAGTAAGTACTGAGTAGGTGGAGGCCGATCTGGGGTGATGAAAAGGTTATTAAACTGTTCCGAGACCCTCATCGCACGGCGTCGTAAATACACTGAAAGCCACTGACTGAGCTGCCCACTTACACAGCTAATGGTGTTATGTGGGCTTCACCTTATGGGAAAAAAAAATGAAACACTAAAAGAAAATCAGTCTTGGCCTTCGTGCCTCCACCTCCCCTGTCCCTGCCCCTGACCTCCAGCCTGGCCTTTGAAGGTCATGAAGATTTCTTCTACCTGCCCCTGGAGGGCAGAACCACACTGTTCCAAGCAGATCACTCAGGCACAGGGAGAGTCTGAGTAAGAGGAGAGAACGGCACAGAGCTGGAGCTGGGCAGGGAGGACAGACAGCAGTCCTTCCGTGTGGTAGGTCCAGGGCCTCTGCACTGCCCCAGGGCCCCGGCCTGTTAGCCCATTTCTCAGATGGAAACATCAGGTTTGGTGTGACTTGGAGGCAGGGCTGGGCCTCCTGACTTTAAGGACCGATGGGAAAGCTGGCACAGCCCCCAGGCAGCCCACATGTGCTCCTCATGGCCACCTAGGGCCAGCTGCTCCCCACTCACTGATCCCCACTCCTCACATGTCAGCATCTGCTGAGGGCAAACCAGGAGCACAGAAAAGAGGCAGGGGCACAGAGGCGGCAGCCCTGAGTAAAGGGGAGGGCTGGCCCTGCCTCTACCCCAGGAGAGGGAGTTCTCTGGCTAGCTGAGCGGTCAGCACCTCTTCCTCGGGGTTGGTAAAGGATAGGGTTTAGCCTCGGGTCCAGGCCTAGGCCCAAAGCCTCGGTAAGTAGTGTAACTGCTCTACCATACAGAACATCCATTTCCTTCGCTGCTGAGTGGGGCCCAGGATACAAGCCCAGCCTGTGAGACTAACAGACGAGAAACCCTGAGAGGACTCAGCAGAGTGATTGCTCCATGTCTTACTGAGTCAGGCATTTCCTGGAATCACCAAAGCGTCCAGGGTCCATGGGATTCAGGCTTCCCCACCACTGCAGAAGCCCCTCGTGACCGCAGCTGGCTGTAAACACACCAGCCCTCAGAAGCCCAAGGCTGGGGAACTAATGTTTCTGGGTCCTGCTCCACCAAGCCACGCCCCACCTTCCAGAATTTGCTTCGTTCCTAGAGAGCCAAATAGCTGAGATCTGCCTACCTAATTCTTCATAAAGGTTCCAATGGTGCTACCTCAAATAATTAAGGTCCCAGTACCGTTTCACACTTTATAGTCCATGAAGCACTTTCCCAGTTATTTTACGTGCCTTGAAACTGACCAAGATTCCCACTAGGTGAGACTCATTGTTTCCTGTATTATAGACACAGATTAGAGATGGAACTGTAGCTCTAGCCCTGCGGGTAACGTCCTTGGTCTTGAAATCTACTTTTTTTTTTTTTTTTTTTTTTTTTTTGTCTTTTTCCTTTTTATCGGTACCAGGGATCGAACTCACGACTGCCTGCTTGCAAGGCAGCCGCTTATGTCACTGAGCTAAATCCCCAGCCCCGAGATCTACTTTCGTAATAGGAATAGAGCCATTCCAGCTTCCTTTTGATTAATAATACAGATGGGAGACCTCTTTTCATCCTTTTTACTTTGAACATATTTTTGGTCTTTATAAAGAGCATTTCTGCACAGTGGCATGCAACTAAATTGTCTTTATCCAATATGACCATCATGGGCCAGGGGTTTAGCTCAGCAGCATAAGCACTTGCCTGCCAAGCATGAGGTTGTGAGTTTGATCCCTGGTATCCAATATGACCATTCTAACTGCTGTTCCGACGATTTACATTTAATGAGGTTATTGATAGGGTTCATTTGGAGTAATTCATCACTTTACTGTTAGTTTTCTATTTGTTCCATCTGTATTTTTGTTCCTTCTTTCTCTGCTTTCTCCTAGACTGTTTTTGATAGTTCCGTTCAGTCTCCTTTGTTGGCTTATTGGCTGTGCCCTGTACTGTTTTAGTAACTGCTTTAGCGTTTGCACCCTGACTTTCCTGCTGTCCATCTTTAGAGACGCTGCACCACCTCACACCAGGTGTAAGGACCTCACAATAGAGTGCTTCCCTTTCACCCCTCCTGACCTCGGTTTTGCCTCTCTGTGTCAAGACAATAAGGAGGGACAATTATCAAGCTTTCTGGGATCCTGAACTTTGTGGCCTGATGTCTAGTGTCTTGAAAATCATCCCTTCAGGGATTTTGTCTGTTTTGGTTTGGTTTTTAATTGTTTCAGGTGGGAGGGTAAATGCAGCCCATCACCCAGTTAGGGCTGCAAAGCCAAGCCCTGATATACATCCAATAACGCCAGGACTCATGGGCACAGTCCTTTGTCCAAGGCCAAGCAGCTGGCAGGTGGCAAGACAACTGTCCCAGCCGGAGCCTGAGCTCCTGCACAAACCTCCCTGAGAAGGCAGAGCGCTGTCAGCTGAGAAAAGTGGACTTTTGTCACTGCAACAGAAAGTTTGACACTGCACCATCACAATTATTTTTGTGTAGGTTGCCCACTAAATGACGACTTTTGACCTCCACCTAGACTCACTTTTAAATGTGCTCTCTGCCTCTTCAGATGGGGTCCTATGTGGTCTACTGTCTAGGGCTTCAGGGCCTGCCAGGAGGCTCCCCACGAAGTCCCTCAATCCATAATCTGATGTGACTGATTAATCAGCCTCCCGACTCACCCTTCCATGAGGCTTTTCCCTGTGAAAACATAGTTGACAGAATCCTGTGTGTGTGTGTGTGTGTGTGTGTGTGTGTGCGCACGTATGTGCATACCTGTGCTCAGCTGGAGAGGAGGGTGCTCCTCTGTCATGCTCGGGAAGTTGACCTCAGAATTACTTTGGGAAATCATTGTGTAAACAACAGGACCAACTTCCATTCTCATCAGCTTCTGGTAGCATAAATTTCATTTAAAACTCTGTGATGCCACATGGACCTCAAGCTGTACAAGACTTGGGCTCCTACTGCAGATTGAGTCTGAGAAGATGGACCTCTGGGGTGATGCTGGGTGGCACAGACCAGGAACTGGAAGTGGAGCCTCTTTCTACACACACATCCCACCCCCCTGGCATTACCACAAGATACCATCAGGCTCATTAGGCTGTGGCTCACAGCTAAACCCAGGCAAGGAAACCTGAGGAACTGCACCCACCCTGCTCCAGCTAGACCGGGGCTTCTCAGGTGCTGCTGGGTGTAAGGATCCTTGGGGAGCCTTTAAAAACCCCATCAGCCAGGTTGCACCTCAGAATAATTAAACTCTAATCTCTGGGCAGGGGGCCCAGACATCAGGAAATTCCAAAAATCCCCGGGGGCTTCCATGTACAGCCACCCTGAGAACCGGTGTTCTTGTGCAGGCATCGTGAACTTTCCCCCTGCTGCACCCTCTCCTTCTGCGCCGTAGACCCGGCCCACACAGGGAGCCTTGCTCTCCCGGGAGGCACCCCCTGGGCACTCCAGGACCCTCCTGTGTTTTGTCCTTTCAGCACTCCAGGCTCAGAAAGGAGGCATCACTCTCAGGGTCATTTCAAGAACCTGACTTCACTGCTAAGACCCTGAGAACGAATGCCCATGTGCCTTCCATTCCTTTGTCCCTGCCTGGCACTCCTGTCTCTGCCCCAGCCCTGCCATCAA